CCCTCTCTCTCAACCCTTCCAAGTGTCGTGACGTAACGTTTTGTGTTCTACATTCCACCAAACCGCACTCCCTTGTATATATCTCTCCTCCAATGATTGTGGATGATGAAAGCATACCAAGCACATCTACTGGGAAATATCTAAAAGTTTTTCTATCTCACAATGTATCTTGGTCTACACATGTTCTTGAAACATTTAAAAGAGTAAGAAGACTCTCCTTCTACGCCTTTAGGCTTGAAATACTTTCCGTTCCCCGTGCTTTAATTCTAAGGTTTGCGACTGCATGTATTATCCATCATTGGTTATACTGTTCCCCGGTTATCTTGCCAGGACTGCTTCAAAAAGATTATGTCCGTTCGCTAAAAGTGATTTATCGCTTCTCCGGTTTAGGGGAAGAAACGCGCATAGATTTCAGCATTAACAAAACATTTCGATGTATGCATCAACTTTGCATCCAAGATTTTAAATGACTCCTCTCACCTTTTACACGATATTCTAGTCAGCACTATAGCTGCTTCGTCCACACGAAGCAAATTAAAAATTCCGTATTCTCGTACATCATCGTGTTGAAAATCTATCTTGCCTTTCTATCATGCTTACTAAGCGAGCAAACAGGAACGAGAAGCCGCTTTCGTGACCGCAGGCATGAATGAAGCTGCAAATCTTCGTTTGTTTCTATTAACTGTTATTTCCCAGTGATGATTTGATGTATAATAATCCTGTGTTAGTGTGAATACGACGAAAATGCACCCAAACGAATGGATAAAGCTTAAATTGACTTTGACTTTGAAATTCTCGATGGCAGAAAGTGGAGGGCACAAATGGAAGATAATCTGTCCTAGTAATGTCCTCCTACAAGTGGCGCACCCCAAGACACGGTTCTGGGGTCTACTTTTCTCCTGATCTATAGTAACGACCTACCCACAGCTTCTTCGATCGCCGTGTGACATGTTTGCTAACGAAGTGACGATTTGGAGTGATTAGCAGCCCCGACGACTGCAGCCTACATCAGCAAGACCCTAACCGCCTCTCCATGTGGCCTACGGAAGTCCGCTTCTCAGTCAACACATTCAAGTCGGTATTCATGAGTATGGAGAAGTATGGTGACAGACAAACCTAGACCCCTGAGAGCCAACTACTACAGTCTATACCTTCCGTGAAGGACCTAGGAGTACTCTCCCACTGCGATTTGAAGTCGTGAACGACACGAATAGGCTACACCGAAACGGACTGCGCATGCTCTGGGCGCTTAAGCCCAATTGCTGCATCTGGTTTGGGGTTGTCACTCACTTATCTTCACCCAAAATAAGACCAATGTTCGCTCGCCTACTGTCCGACAGCCCAAAGCGAGGCGCAGAAGAGCGAGCACATCGCTACCATGCAATCACAAGTTTAGAGATTTACCGTACGAAGATATGTGCGAGTGACTGAACATGTACACCCAGTCCTACCGTTGGGTGTAAATCGGCCTCATCTAGGTGACTACCCCATGCTCTACTTGTGAACATCCTACAGTAAATGCGGACAGCGTTAAAAGATTGTAGTTCCAGATCTGAAACCAGTTCCCCATCTATTGTGCATTGAGCAGTGAATAATCAATGTTGGGCACAGTTTGTCTCAGCATATGGAAGCAAACTCAGTGACGCCGTACAAAACATTGTTGGATTTACATTTCTCCACTGACAGATTCCGAGAGGCATTACCTGCAGGTAATGCTTTATCTTACCTGTGAGTCACATGTTACAGTGAGTCATACGTTTTTACGGCATCACTTGGAAACATCAAAAACGATCAGCGCAGTGATGTCATGAATGGTTTTTGTTTAAAATAAAAACGTTTTGATTATATTTTGATGAAGATACAGGTAAATTGTTACTTTCTCCCATAACACAGTATTCGTACTGTACTGTTCGATGCAGAACGTTGAAAACTATGCTGAATGTGTTTGTCCAAGCAGTGCGCATCACACACATGCGCGCACACACACAAAGCCACGAGTGGATTCAACACGCTGCTCTATCGCGTGGTATCTAGGCATTCTTTCATAGCTAGCACGCGTCATAACGGTGTCGTACTCTTAGAATCGAGAGTGCGTCCACATTGGCAGCGCTTTTAGCTTCAGTATTTGCAAGCGAACGGGTGTCTAGGATGAGTACGACGGTATCACCAATACCAAAATAGACAGTCTGGACTGCAGCATTGAATATGTAAGCAAGCTGCTGGCCAGTCTCGACTGGGTCAAGCCAGCCGGCGCTGACAGAATCCATCCGCTGATTCCCAAGTCATTAATGGCCATACATACATACATACAATGGCCATCATCTCGCCTTCCGTGACTGAGTTTTCAGTCGGCCGTTGGTCAAAAGAATTGCACGCCTAGCTTGCAATCTATACGTCAACAGTTTGAATCCGCGTAGGGGCAGGTGCCCTCACGGTATACTTAGCTCACGTGCGACCAGGGGTGGTTGCGTGGCAACGGATCATCAGCACAGTGTGTCGGGGTACTGCTGAGGACTTTCTATTTTTGGTTAACTTGTTCAACGAGTCGCTATCCACATATTTATTACCGAGCGACTGGAAATGCTCAATCGTAAAACCAATACCGAAAGGCAGTGAACCAAGCAAAGTGGGCAACTACTGGCCGATCTGCCTGACTGCTGTTTTGACTAAGACACTTGAGAAAATCATAAAGGGTCTTTTGTAGATGATCGAGTCAAAACCCTCTTGATGCCGCATAGCATGGCTTCGTGAAAGGTCTCTCATAAATCACCAAGCTGCTATTGACGAAGCATGAGTGGTTGCAAGCGATGAAGTAGGGAAAGTCGGTCGATGTTTACATTGACTTCAGTAAGCCGTTCAACAAGATGGATTGTGGGGTGCTCCTCCACAGTCTGAGGGTGTGCGGTGTTAGCAACTCGCTGCACCAATGGATCAGAAATTTTCGTGTTGGTCGGAAGTGGAGGGTCGAGATCGGCAACCATCTGATCGACTGGTATCTCACTGTCACTGGCGTGCTCCAAAGCACGGTATTGGGGCCTATTTGTCCATGACCCAAATACACGAGGTATCTCAGCTTCGCTGTTCGCTTTGTGCATTGTTTTCAGATGATGTAAAGGCGTGGGGAGTAATCAGTGCACCCGATGACTGCGACCTACTTCAGCGTGACCCTGACTACCCCTCCATGTGGTCTGCGGAGGTCATACTTCTGACAAAACCGGTCAAGTCGTTATCCATGGACTTGGGTAAGAATGGACACAGTCGAATCTAAACTGTGGCCGGTTAACCATTGCATCGCGCACTTTTCCTGAAAGACCTCGATGCACTCTCATGCTGCGAACAAAGGCCGTGGACAACACGAAATGGCTTTACCAAAACAGACTTGGTATGATTTAGACGATCAAGCACAGTTGCTATAATTGGCGTGAAGAAATTGCCACCCGGCTCTTCGTTTCAATCATATGGACAATGCTAGATTACGGCTCACCCGCATACTACGCTATCACTCGGAGCCAGGTGCAAAGGAATGAAGGGGCACGGTATGTAGCCACCATGCGTATCCTCTCATTGCAACGTGTTCCCTACGAAGACCGGTGGAAGAGGCTAGGACTTTACATCCAGTCTTATCGGTGAGTGTGGCTTGACCCCATCAGGACGCACTGAATATTGTATCTTGGCAAGTATCATATGCTGAGGCCGCTGCTACATATGCACACAACAAGCAGTATAAGAGGACACCGGTACAAGCTTGTAGTACTGGATTGGAAGCGAGTCGCTCACCAACTCTGATTCGGGCGGTGAGTAGCGAATATGTGGAGCAACTTACCGTCGCACGTAACCGAAGTCAAGTCGGTGTCGGAATTCAAAAAATTTCTGGACGAACACTTTGCCGACATGAGATATCGGGAAATCTAGCCAGCATAACAGGTCATTGTACCCGAAAGAATTTGGTAACAGTGACACTGAGGTCTCTCTTCTTGCTGCTTCCGTACTGTACACAGTATACACGGGACTATTGTAAACCCATCAGTAAACATAAGTCCCGTGATTTCCTAGTCTTCTCTTCGGCTATCGAGAACGGTACTCGCCCCGATAGCAAGACGTATTTGGCAAGTTTATCAACGTGAGCCGACCACTCCCAGTAAAGACCACGAGCCCTAAGTCGGTAGTCCAGTTTCGAGTACAACGTCAGCTGACGTCCACCGAATGAAGCGATAGTCTAACCGAGAAGAAGGTCATCAGCAACAAATAATGCATGTCCATGTAAACTTTGTGGCTGATCTGGAGACCAGCCTGGATTCTGTTCACGTCTTGGAATAAACCCAGATGGCGCTCATTCCCCTGGTCTCCTACAAAGCGCCATGATTGTGTTTCCATCGAAAGTGCGGATAACCAATACAGCTATTTGCACCATGGACCAGCCACTTCTCAAATCCGAGGACAAACGCCTTGACAAAATCTTCAACTGAGCCCGAAAATACAGCGTTGTTTCAATCAAAGTAGCTCAGATGAAGCAGTCCAACAGAAATGTCGAGGAGGAAAGTTCGGTGCTATCAAAAACAACCAGATGATAACAAATAATTTCGTTGGTTAGGTATAAGGCGAAAGTATTATCATTAGCTAACGAAAACGGAGAGGAAGTTTCACCAACTGCCTTCTAGCCAGTGAGCTTCGGGTAGGGCTTGTTCGAACTTCTACTGAGCCTACCGGCAAGGAAATGGCCTGAGTGGCTTCCGTAACCGAGTTCCCATAACAGCCATATGATTCCTTGATCCGATAAAGTGATATCAAGCTGATCCAGAGCAGTAGGCGTCACTGGTGAACAAAGTGAATCAACTGAGTTAATAGTAGTAGAATCGCTGCCAACGCGCCACTACAAATTTGAGAGGTTAGCCGGGCAACTACAACAGCAGTTAGCGTAGAACTCATGAGCACAGCGGTGCGACAGTTGTGACCAATGGGGCTACGTTGACAGAAAAAGTACCTATGAAACACCAACTCACTTTGAGATTTTCTTCTGTCTTTAAGCTACAACCATTTAGTCCTAGGTAAAAGTTCAGTGCAAGTAATCTCCTCGCATCCTCAAAACTGCCGTCAAAAGTGTGAACAACACCGTGAAGAGGAGTATTCGGAAAATGAACAGAATTGGTTTCTTCGATCAATTGAATAAAATCGTCGTGGGCTGCACGACAATGTAGGAAGAGAGGCAAATTTAGTTCGCCTGCTAAACGCAACTGAGAAACAAAGTGCTCTCGCTGTACAGTAATGGGACAGAAATTTTCTCTGCGCGGCATTAAATGGAATAAGGATGGTACAGCACCCACCTGTCGTAGTCCAACCCGCACTCTCCTATCGCAATGACTTTATCAGGGTTGAGGATGGCAAGTTCCTTGATGGCATTCAGATAAGCGTTAGGGTTGGCCTGAAATTCCAAACATCGTGTTGGGTGGCAACCGGCAGTGCAGAAAAGGCGAGAATCCGTTCTGGCCAGTGCCAAAGCTTCTTCAGTATCAGCGAGAGAGCCTAGGTACAGTAAAGGTAGATCAAGTTACTTTAGTACATGAAGTAAACCTGCAGTAATGATTATTTTCTCAAGACCTGCGTTAAAAGCTCGAAGGAGAAGAGTAAACAAATCATCCGGATGATGTTGCTGTCCTCTGTACAACCCACGAAATACTTTGTCAGTGAGATTGGCGCCGATATCGATAAACTTCTGCGTAGCAGCACTGGCACACATGGCTGTTAAAAATGTATGATAGTGGTTATGCACAAAACAGCAGATAATCATACAAATCAATGGATTGTTAATACTTTCATAAAGGTTAGTAATAAAGTCCGCTATAGCCTACACGAGTGCATCTTGAAGACATCAATTATGTGACAGGCTCTAAGGAGCAAAATAAGGAAAATCGCACATACCAAATAGCTTATGTTTCGAGTGGCTCGCTAGCCGAACAACCTCGTGGTGCCAGCTGGATGTTTCGGGTTTAAGCTGTTCCAGCAAATAGTTCAGCGGCAGTGTTCTAGGATGTAGTGGGTTTCCATCTGGCAAGCGTTCTTCTCATAAAAAGTCGCAAACGTCCATTTATCAACACTGCGACCTGGCGGTCGGAATTCGCCACATACTAAAGCCACGTCCTCGTGAATAACCGGATAATCCTATCCAACTCACGGACATCAATCATCTATTCCCGCATTGCCGACGCTATGAGATAGCCAAGGATACAGCGGCACACTTACAAGCACAAACTACACAGTTACACACATACACAATCATATACTGAATACTGTATTACATAGCAAGTAGAAATGAATTCTGTACAACTCTTTTGAAATATGTTGAAAAACGTTATAAAAATTGTCAGCCGTGAATATCGTCATCGTTCTCATGTAACGGTACTGCAGGACTTGCAAATGTGACATGTCAGCGTAAGTATGTAATCGTTCTCTAAATCAAATGGTGGCAAAAGATAAATCTAACAGTTTGAAGTGCATATATATATATATATATATATATATATATATATATCATTTCGCAATTACATAGATGTACACACTCCTACGCAAACGTTCACTTTCATTGAGTTGTAGAGAGCAGGATGGAAAGCTTTTGTCAGCCCCATCGATTCCGTATCATAATGGGTTGGATGCGCGTCGTTGCAGTACGGCGTTCCTCGAGCGTTCGTCGCAATTGCAGTGACAGCCGCAAGATTCCAGCATTATCAGCGAATGTTTGTCTAGCAGCCGTTTGAAACTTTCCTTGGATGGCGCGTCTGCAAATTCTTCTGGAAAGCTGTTCCAATCAATCACCACTCTAGTGGATAGGGTGACGTCCATGCGAATTCTATCCTCTTTGCTTAAATAATTTCCATGTGTGACCTCGTGTGGAACAGTCAGTGTTGGACCGGAAGAATTGTTGTGACTCACTTCCAAGTTCTCCTCGGATGATGCGCCTAGTGTAGATGAGATCACCTGGGCGACGGCGGAGCTTCAGGGAGAACAGATTTAGCTACTGGAGTCGAATGGGCTACGAGAGATCACGAAACCTCAGAACAGCTTCAATGCACGTCTCTGAACCTTTTCCAGCACAGAGCATTCAAATCTTGAAAGCGGATGGATAGCTGGTAGGCCATATTCTAAAACTGCATGGACGTACGAAGTGAACAAACGTCAAGGAATCCCAGGATGCATTGGATCTTCTTAAGGCACCCGCCAGTCTCCTTCCAGTGACCACACTCTTTAACGTGTCATGCGTTGTCCTAAGGTCAAAAGACACGAGAACCCCGAGTGCTCTCTCCTGAAAAGTGTTCATGAGGAGAAACCCACCACTGTGGTATGCACCGTACGGTTCATTTATACCCATTGGGAGAAAGCGCATTTATCTAGGTTTACTGGCAATTCCCACTTGATGGACTATTCGTGCAGCTGGTCTAAAGCCCCTTGTAATCTGTCCGCATCCTCAAGGCTGGATACTGTTGACCATAGCTTGAGGTCATCGGCGTAGATCAAGCAGTCGGGTTGAAGTGCAGCCGGTAGATCGTTAATGTACAGTTTGAAGAGCTTTGGTCCAAACACTGATTCTTGGGCAATGCCACTAGTCATAAGCACTGGAGCAGTGAGGGTTTGGTTCACTTGTACACGCCTTGTCCTACCTCTTAAGAAATAGGCAATCCAGGAGAGGTTTTCTGTAATGTCAATTCCCTGAAGTTTATGTAGCAGTCATAAGTGTGGAACCTTTTCAAACGCTTTACCGAAGTCAATGAATATTAAGTCAACCTTTTTTGGACACCTATGGCTTCTGCCTGTGCTTCCCTGGCGATGAGTAACTTATACATGCATGTGCGTGCTCTCCGGAAGCGGGTGAGATGATGTTTAGGTTCACACAGTGTACTGCAGGGCGCACCTCACTATTCGTTCCATGGTTTTGCATACGACTGATGTTAGGCATATTGGCCGGTACTTCGCCGAGTCTTGTTGATTTTCCCCTTGTATTTGGGCAGGACGGTACCTGCTTTCCAGGCTCTGGGTAGGCAGCCGACTTCGAGGGATTGCCGAACTACTTGGCAGAGAGGGGCGGCGACGTACTCAGCTACCGTTTTGAGGAAGCTGGGATGCAGTCCGCCCTGGCCTGGGGAGGAGTTCGGGTCCAGTTAGAGGAGTACCCTAGTGATTACCTCGGGGTTAATTTCAACTTCGTCCATAGAGAAGTAGTGTGTAGGCAAACACTTGTTAAGCAGCGGAGATTGCACTGAGTAGACCGAGGAATATTGCGCAGCCAGTAGGTTTGCTTTTTCATCATCGCCGTAGACAACGGTACCTTTCTTAGAAGAGAATAGAGCGGGGATTCCACTGCCCGACTTGGCATTTCGCTTCAGGTAGGCAAAAAGTTTCTTAAGACAGTTTTGGGATTCCATGGCCAGTCCATGTTCACATTGTAGCCTTTTGTCTCGTTTTCCCAGGGTGCATAGATTTCTGACAGTTTTGTAATCAAAGTAGCTTGATGTCAGTTCTGTGCTCTTGAAATAGTCCCATAGTTTCCGTCGTTTTTTTCATTAGGGATCTTATTTCTTTAGCAATCCATGGGGGTCCTTTTGGTGGTGGGCTGCTCTTGCAGTTTGGAACAAACTGTTCAATGAGTCGTATCATCATAGATTGTAGGTGTTCACATGCGTCATCAAGCTCCAAGAATTGCGGAATACTCCAGTCCATGTTACTTGCAGCCGTTTTTAATCTGGGCTGATCAGTGCGCCAGAAATTTCGACGCAGTATCCCCTGGTCATGTATTGTGAGGCGTGTCTACGAAAACGAGTCTATACAGTGATCACTCTTCTCAAGAGGTTGGAGGGTCGTTAGATCTGAGACATCATATGGGGTCGAGGTGAGAACCAGGTCGAGAATGTTTGGTGTCTGATCAGGAACCATTCTTGTTGGTGTCCAGATATGTGTCAGGTTGCACTCGTGGACGATATCAAGCAGATCAACTTCAAGGGAGTCAGGTGGGAGGTCACCGTGAAGAAGGTCCCAAATTATGTCGGGGGCGTTGAAGTCTCCCATAAGGAGACAGTTTGTTCCTCTGCTGTGGGTTCGCACGGAGCGTAATAGGTGTGAGCCAGGTCCTGAAGGGGCTCTGTAGACCACTCCGATCATCAGCAGTTGGTATCCGTCATGAATTTGACACCAGAGCATTCCTGACATTTCATCCTTGTCACAATCGGGTTCGACAATGTGGGTCTTGAGGCAGTTCTTTGTGTAGAAGATTACTCCGCCTCCAGACCTCCCACAAAAGCGATCGCATCGAAGCAGTTAATATCCTGAAACATGAACCTCCGAGTCAGATATATCAGGTAACAGCCAGCTTTCGGTGAACACCATTAGGTCCGGTTGCTGTTCAGAGATAAGGAGTGGGATCTCATAAAGATTGTTTCTGAGACTGCGCACTTTTACGGCATACAGGTTGTATTTTCTACAAGTTTGCTCACGCTTTGCTATATTAAGATGATCATGCCTTCAGTGGTATGCCTCGCTTTATGAAGAATAAAAATTTTATTTATTTACTGTCACCAACTAACTACTTCGGGGTTTCATCAAGACAGGCGTGATATCGCTAGACATTACGCACCGAAAGAACCAGTTAACAAAGATGTGAATAATAAAACTCAATCAACACTAACTATCAAGGTGGAAAATGCAGTTCGTCGGGAGTCCATTGCCAGAGTTCACTGCCAAAGACGGCCGGATTTCAGTAGTATGTGCTCAACATCTGTACCAGACATCAGCAATGCTGCACGTGGGATGGTCATATCACATCTAGATGTAGTAAAGATGGCCGCATTGTCATGCTAGTCAGGACCCAATACCAACAGGCTAGTATTATAGCGGAAACGTTCGGTCGCTATATGTCAGGTTCATTCCGCCTCAAGGAAAAGTCGGAAAAAGATTACACGGGCGAGATAGACGTTCATTGGTGAAACGCACAATCCCGCTAGCTAAAGGCACCGCAAAAAGATTCTAACTAGGGGAAAGGTATAGTCGCCAGCCGAGACGCAGCAAACGCCCTTCGAGGCGGAAAAGCCAGAAGCGCGCGAATGTGATTCGCCTGGATGATTCAGCCACACGTACTCATCGTGCTAACAGGCAAGCTTCCTAAGTTGTCTATGTACGGAATGACATTACATTTTATTAATATTTTACAGACAAACAGGACAATCTCCAGGTCAATGCATAGCTCCCCCCCTCCTAGAAGGGAACCGTTAGTGACCCTTCGAACTACGTGAGGACTGTTCATCGCGGGCCAGCGTTCTGAGAGACCAGGCAGTGAAACCTGATGCAGCTACTGGGGGAGAACCAGGCAAACGGACCCTAGCGGGCTCTCATCCACGTTCTCCCTTAAGTTGCCGATAAAAGAAAAGGGGGAGAACGTTCGTAGCATACGATCACTTGTGTTTGACCATGAGTAAGTGTTCTCCGGTTCGCAACATGAAAAGAAAGAAAGAAACGGGGGAAGTCAGGCATACAGAAGAGGCGACAGCAACGGACGGGAAAAGCACTTACCGAATAGGCAGCGAAGTCAGGGAAACAACTCTTTTTTATCGGTTTTCAAAACGTTTTTCCGTGTTTGCTTCTGGTTTTCGAAACGTTTTGCAATGTTCTCGGGTTTTCAAAACATTCTGCATTTTGTGCGGTTTTCGGAGGGTACTGACAAGAATGAAAACCTGAAAACGTTGTTAGAAGCAAAAATGCTGAGCTACCGTGCTAGGAAACGTGTCGGCCAGTGAACCCCACGACCAGACCTAGTAACCTTTTTAGGCGTGGCGAAGTTGGAGGGCTCAGGAGACGGGTTTCCGGTTGTGGTGTTGCTGTCTGCAAGCGTTTCCTCCACCACTGGTTGGGTCGATTCATCAGAGGACGAAAAACTGGAGTCGTCGTTCGACTCTGGTTCGACGTAAGCAACTTTGAGGCGGTCGATTGAGACCGTTTCGTGCTTGCCATTGCATTCGATGACGAAGAAGTGATCCTTACGTTGTAGGACCATGAATGGGCCTTCGTAAGGTCGTTCGAGTGGTCTACGTAGACCATCAGTGTGAATGAAGACAAACGGGCGGTGGGAGCTTTGGGAACGTAAGACTTGCGATGCTGTTCCCGTACTGCGGTCGATTTATTGCGGCGCATGCTCGTGGCTACTTGCTGAGCGTAGTGCACGTCCAAGCTAGGAGTGTTCGGACTTTCAGAGAAGAGTCGCCTGGTAATCGGAGTGGTTGTTCACAGGCCAGTTCGGCGCTGGACGTTTCGAGATCGGCTTTCAGTGCTGATCGAATTCCGAGTAGCAAGATTGGCAGAACTTCTGTCCAATTAAGTGCATTGGGCACTTAGCGAGGCTATAAGTTGTCGGTGGAAACGGTCCACCATTCCGTTTGCTTGAGGATGGTAGGCAGTTGTTTGGATGCGTTTACATCCGAGTACTTGGAGTAGGTCGTTGAAAGTCGACGATTCGAATAGTGGACCACAGTCGGTAGTTACAGTGGCTGGACAGCCATGTGAAGCGACCCAGCGCTCGAAAAATGCGCGCGTTATAGTCTCAGCGGATACATCGGGAGTCGGAACAGCTTCAGGCCAACGAGTGGCGCGATCCACGGTCAGAATGTAGACCATGCCTTTGGACAACGGAAGTGGTCCAACGACGTCGAGGTGGACGTGAGCGAATCGAGTTGATAGTGACGGGAAGCGTCCTATAGGAGCGGCAACATGTCGATGAACGTTTGCTCGCTGGCAAGTCAGACAGCTGCGTGCCCAAAGTCTGACGTCGCGCTGCATGTTGGGCCAGACGTATCTGTTGGCAATCATCTTGACTGAAGCGCGGATGCCAGAATGCGCGATGTTGTGCCGCGTATGGAAGACTTTTCGGCGAAAGGCAGTTGGTAGCAGTGGACGTGGATGTCCGGTAGAGACGTCGCAGATTATTGTACCTATAGACGAAGGAAGCGGTTTAGGTAAGAACTTTAACGTGGACTCTTCGCAAGATGACATTAAGTCTTTTTCGGCTTGCTAAGCAGCGGCCATAGGTGACAGATCAAGCGATTGATCGGTCGGAGCCAGAAGACTTACTCTTGAAAGCGAGTCCGCCACAACGTTATGCTTGCCAGACACGTGTTGGACGTCCGTCGAAAACTGAGACACCAAATCTAGATGTCGAGCTTCACGCGGAGAGAATCGGGGAGAATGGTTCCGGAAGGCATAGACGAGCGGTTTATGATCTGTAAAGATCCTAAAATTAGTACCTTCGAGAACGTGACGAAAATGGCGAACGGCGGAGTATACGGCCAGTAACTCGCGGCCAAATTTGCTGTAGTTCGACTCCGCTGTCTGAAAACGTCGCGAGAAGAACACTAGTGGTTGCCAAGTACCTTGGGAAAGCTGCTGTAGAACAGCGCCAAATGCGTTTTCCGAAGCGTCGACGGCTACACTGACAGGAGCGTTCGGGTCGAAATGATGAAGCATGACGGCGGAAGCGAGTGCTTATTTCAAAGTTGGACTTGGAGCATCCGCTGGTGGTTGGGTTGCTACAAGCAACCTCTATTGAGACCTCGGTTCACTTGAGGTGGACCTCGGTCATTCCGATCGAAAAGACCGTAAGTAAAATGGAAATTATAGTGTTGCTCATCCCAACACTGGCACCCCAAGACCGCGGTTTCGTCCTGGTTGGGACTCATCAGTTGGAGATAGCCTGAGTTGGGCTGAAACTCAGAGCCTAGTGGCTCATGGTTGACACCATAAGTTCTATGCCACTGAGATCCGCGAGCAACGCTTGGTCCAGCAGAAACGAATGCAAAGTGCCAGCCCAACTCAGGCTATCTCCAACTGATGAGTCCCAACCAGGACGAAACCGCGGTCTTGGGGTGCCAGTGTTGGGATGAGCAACACTATAATTTCTATTTTACTTACGAGTGCTTCGTTGTTAGCTTCGAATGCTTTTCTTGCTTCAGGCGTAAGATCAACCTTACCATTGTTGCGTCCACGCAGATCGGTGAGCGGTTGCATAAGATCGGCGCACACCCACACATACAATATACACGTTTAGCTAGAGGTGGGAAACAGCCCAGCTACAGTGTAGCAATACCAAAAGAAAAAAGGGAATAAAATGCAACAGGTGCAAGCCAGATGAGTAACCGGTAACAGTTGGGCATCGTTCCGGTAAGCTACCAGCCGGCTACTATGCAACAGAAAAAAATAATTTACTATGCAAAATTATAAAATGATAAATGGTGAGATCGTGGTTGGAGGGGGAGGCTGAGGGATGGGGTGGGACAAAGAAACTCACAGCACGAACGCCACTGAGGACGGCTCCTAGCCATATCAGCAAGTGTGTCCGACCAAACGTGTTCATCGTCTTTCGGACCCCAACCAGGGAGCCGAGACGTTCCAACCGAGGCCAGCTCAGAAGTGAGAGCCTGCATTCCCCTCGACCAAGTCATCGCTTGGCTACCACTCCTCTCCTTCCATCCACACCCCCGGCGCGCAAAAAACGCACGTTGCGGGAGTCGGTGGGTTGTCATGCGTAACACGTGGCCGAGCCATCGGAGCCTGGTGCGTGAAATAACGGTGCTGAGCGGTTCATTTCTATTCCCTGTACCGTAAACAAGGCGTCTAACATGCTCGGTGCTTACTCAGTATTCCCACTAGATGTAAGCTAAATTGCGAAGGCATCAGTGGTCGAACGTAACTAGCCTCTCTATGTCCGCTGATCTAAGGGGCCAGGCATTACAACCGTACAGTAGGGTCGAACGTACCGATGCACTGTACACTATACCCTTCATGGCGAGAGTGATGTCGCGCCGGCGCTACAAGTGCCGAAGGTTAGCAAAAGCGCCTCGAGCTTTCGCTATACGGTTGGGGGTTGGAATAAGAGTGGCACCTTATTCCTTAAAACGGACTCCTTGTAGCCCAATGCCAAACCCGCTGCCTTGCGGACAGGTTTTTGAATCAAAGGCCTTCGTTGAGAACCCTAATCGTTCTCCTGTCTAGGCCTGGGCAACCTGACAGTATCCTGCCCACGCAATACTATGAATCTCACTTCAAACAAATTTCTGATGCTCTGGCCACCGCAGAGGATAATCGACGGTGCCCTATCTGCTGCATCGAGTAGGGTGGATAGGGGATTGGATGCTACTGCTCAAGCCTTCCCGTCTTCTTATTCTCCCTCTCGTTCCAGCTTCACTTTTATCCCCCTGTTTTCAAACCCAAATTCTCGGCCCTCCCCCACCTTGCTTCAATAGTCGCTTGTCTTTTAGTTACAACTCATGTGAACGCGGAGCGTCATTCCTGCCCTGTCAACAGGCCCATGTCCAAGCAAGCGGTCAAGCCCAGATCATCGGCTTCCATCTGGAGCCCTCGACCCTCTTTCAGATTGACATGCCTCAATGTTCGCACATTGCTTCAGACCGGTCAACGGGCAGCACTGGAGACCCTCTCAATCGATATCTGCTGCTCACCGGAGACCCGCTTGCAAGACTCGAGCTCTGCTCACTCTGCGATCCAGTTCAGGCGACAATAGAAGCACTTTCTAATTGCGCCTATCCGGTGACGATGCAGCTTCGAGCACCGCCCAAGCCGGTGTTGGTATTGGCCTGAGTACCCGGGCTGAAACTGCTCTGGTTGATTGGATTCCAATCAGTAGCCGAATGTGTGCAGTCCGATTGGCTGGCTCGTTCAAAACTTCCAAGTCGCGTGGGACTAACAGGTGTCTATTCGTTATCGCTGCCTATGCACCCACAAACTGTAGCTATGACTCGGTAAAAGACGACTTCTATCGCCAATTGATCGAGCTCCTTAGACACAGAAGAAGCTCGGACACTGTAGTGCTGGAAAATTAACCCCTGGTGAACTGCACCTAGGTGGCCAACATGGTGTAGGCTCCCGTAATGATAACGGTGAGCGGTTACTTCATTTGTGGGAAGATGCTCGCTTATTTCTTGCGAGCACTAATTTTCGACACAGCACCCGGAGGGTGACTTGGCGCGCACCAGCCTCGAACCAACCATAGACGCAAATCCATCACATTGCGATAAGTTATCGATGGAGAGGCTACATCCAGAATTGTCGCTCGATTTGGAACACAGGTGTGGACACCGATCACGCACTTGTATGGGCTGACCTACGGATGCGTTTTGGCGGACGCCCAAGACGACGTTGTGAGCGCATTGACACCAGCCAACTGGTGAAGCCAGCTGGTCTGAATGCCTATCAAAGTACTCTGTCATGCGAGTTGGATAAACGCTCACTGGATGCAACTGAAGGTCACTGGTCTCATATTCACCAGTCCTTACTAGCAGCAGGAAAATCCTCATGAATTATGTCTAATCGTCAACATGCACATTGGGTCTCTTCACAGTATCTGGAACTTATCGATGCTCGCCGGCATATTCCGCTTGGAAACGAACACAATGAAACTCGCAAAGAGCTCGGGGCAAAACACCATGCTAGCCTGAAGAGAGACCGCGAATCCTGGTGGTCTCATCGTGCATCAGAGATAGAAATGGCCGCTGCCCTTGGTAACCAAGTTAATCTGTCTGATACGAAAAACGGGCAACAGGAGACCTGGTGTTAGCGAAACGATTAATAACGGGAGTGGACAGCCTATCCACAACTTGTCAAACCGCTTGGAGCGTTGAGCTGAGCATTTAGAAAGGCAATTTAATCGGTTGGAATTGTTAGATTTTTCGCCGGCCACTGATCGCCCCACTCCGTCCCTTTGGATCCACCCTCTCGCTCAGAAGTCGAACGTGAGATCGCACAGTTGAAGTTAAACAAAGCCGTGGGGCCAGGTGACCTACCTCCAACCCTTTTCAAATTTGGGGGACCTGCTCTTGTGGATGATTTATAGGAGTTAGTAATGAAACTGTGCGAGCAGGAAACTGTCTCAACCGACTGGAGCCGCTCCGTCATAGTCCCAATTTTCAAGCGAGGCTCATGATCGGAATACAGCAACCATGGAGGAATCAGTCTGATCTCCATCGCCTCCAAATTGATTGCCTCTCTCATCCTTCACAGACTGACTGGTACTCCTGAAAGCCATATTCGTGAAGCGCGAGCCGGGTTTCGTCGAGGTTGTGGCTGCATTGACCACATCTTCACTTTGCGTCAGTTGTTGGAGCACTGTCACATATATTGGCGTCCCACAGTTGCCGTGTTCCTCGGTATCAAAGGTGCATTCGACTCGGTGGATAGACGTGCACTTTGGGACTGTCTACTTAGGAAAGGTGTACCTGAGAAATATGTGAATATTATCCGAGCATTATATGCGCGTAGCTCGGGCAGAGTGAGGGC